CTGTTTACAGAAACAGGCTGTGAGAATTTTACTCCTCACAGCTGCCTTCTAAGCCATTTCTGAAAAAATCTCCAACAGCTGGACAGGTTGTTGGGAGGTTTTTTGGGAGTGATGCTTTGCTTCCCACAGGGCTGTGGAGGTGAATCCCCTCTCTGAGGTGCTGTTTGTCCTGGATTGTCCCAGGACAAACACACCAGCTCCGGGTGCACACACTCTGGTGAAGGCTGAGCAGATAAAGTGAACAGCAGTGTATTCACCTTCCTGGAAATCCCTGAGGCACAGCCCATGGCATGCTGCAGGGGCACAGCTTATTTAGAGTTTAACCCATGCCAGAACAGCTTATTTAGGGTTTAACCCTCCCCTGTTCCATTGCAGGTGTGTTTGCAGCCATGATGCCCGTGGCCACCGTGATGCCCGATGACACGCCCATGTTCGACCCCAGGATCCTGCAGGAGCTGGACTGGAGTGAGAACACCACCACCTTTTCTCCTGCCATTTCTCCCCTGGATCCAGGGGATGGGCTGGTCCTGAGGCCACTTTGCACAGCTGATGTAAATCGAGGTAGGATCCTGTTGTATTATTGCCACAAATGACACTGAGTTGGTAACTTGTGTTTCTGGAGTTCTCAGTGGATTGGGATGGCTCATTTTCCCTGATTTGGGTTGTTTTTATCAGTAAAGAATTTGATGGAATTTTAGGACCTCCTGAGTTGCAGGAGACCCTCAGGGATCATTGAGTCCAGCCCTGAACCTGCACAGGACACCCCAGCAATGCCCCCCTGAGCCTTGTCCTAACATTCCTTGGGGCTGTGACCATGTCCTGGTTTGTCCTGTGTGACCACGCCCCTGAATTTGAGCTTTTTGGTGCTGTATTGGTGACCCTGAAAATTTGGTTTACTGTTTTAATCCTAAAATTCAAGTAAAATCTTCCAAATAATCCACAAGTTCCCATTCCCCATGGTTTTGGAGAGGGAGCACAGTTGTTGATATTGTAGCCTTTAATACCAAAACAACATGAACAAGCATCTTGGTGCATGAATTTTTGTTCAGTTCTGGAATTTGGATAAAAGGGTTGCTTTGGACTCATTATTCCAGCTCACTTGAGCTTTAGCCAATCTTTCACCATTTTTCCATCCCATTGTGATGTGCTGGTGCCATGGTCCCTCTCCACACAGCTGTGTTGGATTGTTCCTTGCTGTTTGGAGCTGGTTGTGTGTCTGTCCCTCACTGAGAGTTGTTTTTGTTTTCCCCTCTTTTCCTGCCAGGCTTTTTTAAGGTTCTGGGTCAGCTGACAGAAACAGGAGTGGTGAGCCCGGAGCAGTTCATCAGTGAGTACCTCATCATTCCTTGGCTTTGCACAGGGAATCAAAGGATGCTGACAGACAGCAGAGCTGCTCAGGTGTGAGGCTGCTGATCCCAGAGGGAGGGATGAGTTCAGCTCCCCTTGGCACTCAGCCTTGCATCCAGCTGCAGCCATGCCCAAGGGCTGCTTAAATTGCTGCCTAAATTGTGGAACTGGTTTTTACACTGAGCTTTAGATAGCTGGAGGTTGGATTATTTGGGTTGCTCCAAGCTGGACTGGAACACTCTGCAGGATGGAGCAGCCACAGCTGCTCTGGGCACGCTGTGCCAGCTCCTCATCATCCTCCCAGGGAACAGTTCCTTCCCAATATCCCATCCATCCCTGCCCTTCCAGTGGGAAGCCATTCCCCTGGTGCTGTCCCTCCAGCCCTTGACCAAAACCCCTCTTCAGCTCTCTCTGAACCTTCTTTAGGTCCCCTTTAAATCCTGCTCCTGGGCCAGCCAGGCAGTGGGGAGGCAGCTCAGGGAGTGACAGGATCTGAGGCAAAGCCAGCACAATCCCTGTCCCCAGGGTCACATCCACACAGCTTCTGAATCCCTCCAGGCATGGGGACTCCACCCCTGCCTGGGCAGCTGTGCCAGGGCTGGACAAACCTTTCCATGAGATTCTTCCCTGGGAGGGTGGGCAGGCCCTGGCACAGGTGCCCAGAGAAGCTGTGGCTGCCCCTGGATCCCTGAAGTGTCCAAGGCCAGGGGCTTGGAGCAGCCTGGGACAGTGGGAGGTGTCCCTGCCCTTGAAGGGGGTGGCACTGGCTGAGCTTTAAGCTCCTTCCAGCCCAGAGCATTCCATGGTTGGGTACTGCAGTGCCCATGTGTAGAACAGCTCAGCAAGGAGGCTTCTCTGGGAAAATAAGGAATTTGTGTAATTCCTGCTTTTTCATTGCTTCATCTGACTCTGGGGCATCCATTTTCTGGACTTGCTGTGATCCCACAGCGATTTGCAGTCAGACACTGCTGCAAGGATCAGATTGAACTGCAGTTCCCTGTGAGCCTGAATTGCCTTTGCACACTGTGCCTCTCCCACAGAAACCTTTGAGCACATGAAGAGGTCTGGGGATTACTACGTGACCGTGGTGGAGGACACCAACCTGGGCCAGATCGTTGCCACAGCAACGCTGGTTATAGAGCATAAATTCACCCACTCCTGTGCCAAGGTAAATCTGCAGCTGGCAAGGGAGGAAAACATCCTGGCCCTGACTCTGGGAGTGTGGGTTTCATGGTGTTATTGGGTGGTGACAGCCTCAGGTTGTATCAGGGGATGTTTGGGTTGGGTATTGGGGGAAATTTCCTTGTGGAAAAGGTGATCCAGGCCTGTACAGGCTGCTCAGGGCAGGGGTGGAATCCCCATCCCTGGAGGGATTGAAAATCCATGTGGATGTGGCACTTGGGGACAGGGGGCAGTGATGGCCTTAGCAGGGCTTTTCCAACCTTAAAAATGGAAATATTTAAAAAATATATTTTAAAATATCAAGTACTTTAAAAATACATCACAAACTTGAGTGCTGAGCTGGTAGCAAAAGGAGGCTTTGGCTTTGCAAAGGGAAAGGAGCCCTTGGGGATCTGTCCCAGGGTCCCTTGGGAGGAGCCAGAGTGGCTGTGGCAGAGCAGAGGGCTGAGGATGCCGTGCTGGGCTAACAAACAATGTCTGTGCTTTCAGAGAGGCAGGATAGAGGATGTGGTGGTCAGTGGGGAGTGCAGAGGGAAGCAGCTTGGAAAACTGTGAGTATTCCCCACCTGTGCCATTCAGCCATCCCTTGACACCTCACACCTTCCTGGTGAGGATTCAGCCAGCTGGGATCACCAGCTGGGCATGAAATGATCTGCAGGAGAACACAGAGAGTGCTGTGAGCCCTCAGTGTTGTGCCTGTGATAACAAAACTCATTGAATTTAACTGATTTTTTTATCTTTTTCCAGATTAACGTCCACCCTCACCTTGCTAAGTAAGAGACTGAACTGTTACAAAATCACTCTGGAGTGTCTGCCCAAAAATGTGGATTTCTACAAGAAGTTTGGCTACTTGGTATCTGATGAGAACTACATGTTTCAACGGTTCTTTAATTAACAGTTTCTAGGTGTTCTGGGTTCTTTTTTTCTTGGAAAGACTGTTGGTGGAGGAGCTTGTGCTGCAAACATTCTCTCCGTGGAAAATTTCTATAGTTTATTGCTGCAGATATAACAATCCCTATAAATAATGAACATCAAATGTGTAAATCTTGGGGAAAAAAAAAATTACTGAGGTTTTAGAAAGAGTCCTTTGGGTTAGAAAATAAGTTTAGAACTAATTTTTACTACTGTTGAGTCGAGGTGAAGCTTTTCTGTTCTAGCTGAGTTACAAAGGACTCTAAAGGGATGGTTTTTAACCAAAGGTCTATATTTTTATCTCAAATTTTTTCTTGCATTGTATTTTTCTAAAGGTTTGTGCTTCTTTTCTCAGTAGCCAAAGGACAGCCCTGGGACTGTCCTGGCTGTGCTGATGGAAGGATGATGTAGCTGGGGAAGGGATGAGGCTTCTCTTATGCAGAATCAGTGACACAGAACAGGCCTTGGTTCTGGATTTTTCCATGACACCTCATGGAAGTGCTGGTGAAGTTTTCTAGGCTCTGTTTTCCAAGATTGGATTTGTTACTGTTGGTGCAGGTTGGGGAGAATCCTTCCAGGCTGTGCTGAAAATGGATGTGTGCTTCTCACTGCAGGGCTCCTGCACTTTAGCTGATAACTTGGTTTTCAGGATAATTACTTTTTTTTTCTGACATAAAAACCCCAAATGTGGTTTGCAACAGGGCAGAGGTAACTGGGGAACTGGAATGTGTGAAGGAGTAAATCCCATAGGGAGTGGGGTTCTGGCTATAAATCACTGGGAAGGGGATGGGGATGGCAGATTGAGCCCAGAGCAGCCTCAGAGCCACTTCCAGGGCCTGAAAAGGAAGGAGAGGGATTTTTGTATGGGCAGGACACAGGGAATGGTTCCCAGTGCCAGAGGGCAGGGCTGGATGGGATTTTGGGAAGGAATTGTTCCCTGGGAGGGTGGGCAGGCCCTGGATCCCTGGCAGTGCCCAAGGCCAGGCTGGGCAGGGCTTGGGGCAGCCTGGGACGGTGGGAGTTGTCCCTGTTGGAATGAGATGAATTTAAGGTCCCTTCCAACCCAAACCACTCTGGGATTTACTGACCAGCCCTGGATCTGCAGAGGCCCAGCAGGGATTTGCACCTGTGGCACAGCAAAGCAGGAGAGAAATCCTCCCCTTCTGCTGCTGCTGTGGAGCTTCCCTGGCACTGCAGGACTGGGTCCATGCTTTGAGCACTTTGGCCAGGGGTGAAAAGCAAAGAACATGCACAGGGCTGCTGCCAACAGTGGTGCTTTGTGTGGGGAGTGACAAATGGCACAGCATGAACGGGGCATTGTCCCCAGGCTGGGTTGTTTGTGGGCAGCCAGGCCTCGCACACTGTCCTGCTTTGTGCTCTGGAGAGCAGCTCTACAGTGCTGGGGGCTCTGCTTGATCTTCCTGAGGGTTCTCCACTCCATCCAGTGGCTCCTTGGTGATGTCTGCTTTATTTATTGATTATTTTTTTAAAGAATATCTTTGTTTAAGCTGAATAAATGATTGCCACCTGTATCTGGACTGTTTTTCATGGAGTGAGGATGTGCTGCAGGTACCTGTTCCCCTTCCCTGGGCTGCAAAGAACACTTTGAGCAGCTCCACGTGGATTTCTGTCCCAAGAGAAAGCAGATGAGCATCTGCATGGCTCAAGCCCTGACTGACTCTAAAGCAGCTCCTGCTTTCTGCTGGCCCAAGTGACTGAGGTGGAATTTCTTGCCTTTCCCAGCTGTAATTAATTCAGAATTTCCAGGCTTGAAAGTGGATTATTTGAATTCCGTGGTATCTCCACCATGTAAAGAGCCGCAGGCCCTCATGAAGAGTTAATGAGCAGATCAGAGTGCTCACATCATTGTCACACAGATGAATGGGGCTGAAAGCACCACGGGCACAGCAGCTGAAGGGCTCTTTGTTCCTGCNCTGTGTTATATCAGAATTCAAATTGACTGTGCTATACCAGAATTCAAATTACAGCCTGACTGTGCTATACCAGAATTCAGATTACAGCCTGTGTTATATCAGAATTCAGATGACAGCCTGACTGTGCTATATCACAATTCAGATGACAGCCCGACTGTGCTATATCACAATTCAGATGACAGCCCGACTGTGCAATACCAGAATCCAGGTTAAAGCCTGACTGTGTTCGAGGGCAGGATTGCACTGACTGCCAGCAGCAGCACCATCCCATCATCCCCCTGCCCAGGCTGCAGCTGGGGTGGGGCTGCCTCCCGATCCCACAACAATGACCTCCACACAAAGGCTTCCCCTCCCAGGCAGCTTTAAGGGTCATTCACACACTCACAAATGAGATCACACCTGGGCTTTGAAAGCATTTCACACATTTTATACAGCCCAACAAAGTGGGGGAGAGGGATGTTATCATCAAAGAACAAAAATCTAAATCAGTATTTGTAAAATGGAACAACTGCAGAAGAAATCTCGAAATAATAAAGCAGTAGCAGAGTACACTCATTTCCCATTTTTTAATAAGAAAGGAGACAAACTAAATGAGGCACTGAAAAGGAAAATATGTGAGTATCACTGAAACCTGTCACATCTATCAGTGTGAAACGTGGTATTTTAGAGCCTCAAAATTATCTACAAACAGGAATGAAGTGAAAGGTTGTGCCTCCAGTTTCAGTCAGGCTTCGTGTTATTGGACAGTTCTATTAAAAATATGGGGGTTATTATACAAATAGAATTATTTCAATTGGAAGGAACCTATAACAATCATTTAGTGCAACTACCTGACCAGTGCAGGATATTTTTCCCCAGGTAGAAGTCTATAAAATACACAGAATTAAACCAAATCCTTGAATTCCCTGAAGGTGTGAGCATGGCACTGGCATGAGCAGAACTCAGGGAATGTTTGGACAGTGCTGTTATCCCAAAAGTGGCTGAGGGCTGGAGAAAGGGGCAGCAGAAAGGGGGAGGTGACATTGCCACCCCTGCACAGCTGCTCCATCCCAAGGCCACCACACACAGCAGGGATGGAAGCAGATTTCCTGGGAATTCTGTTTGTCAGGAACACTCGGACAATGGGAAAACCCCACCAGAGACATTTTTGGTATTGAAAATACAAAGGAATACAAAAGCAGGAAGGTGGAGAAGGAAGGAAAGTGGGGAAGGAAGGAAGGAAATAAGGATGGAAATAAGGAAATAAGGATGGAAATAAGGAAATAAGGATGGAAATAAGGAAATCAGGATGGAAATCAGCAAGGAAATCAGGATGGAAATGAGGAAATCAGGATGGAAATCAGCAAGGAAATCAGGATGGAAATGAGGAAATCAGGATGGAAATGAGGAAATCAGGNTGGCCCCGGGGGCAGGGAAATGCAGCAGCCCTGAATTCATCCCCAGGGCAAAGGGCTGAGGAGGGAACAACAAGGGCCCTGTGTATTTGTTATGTGTATATAAAAATAGATCTACAATATAGATATTAATATGTATAGTATGTATGTATATAAAATCTATATATGGATATTTTATGTGTATATAACATGTATATATGGATATTTTATGTATATATAAAATCTATATTGACAGATTAATAATACATATATATCTAAAGATACTCTCTATCCATAATATATACATATATATACATATACATATACACACATATACATATATACACATTATATATATACATATATATGCACACATACATATACACATTTTATATACATACATATATATACATACACACACATATATATACACATACATATACATATATACATATATATACATATATGTATGTATGTATATATGTATGTATGTATATGTGTATGTATGTATATGTATGTATATATATATGTATGTATATGTATGTATACATGTATGTGTATGTGTATGTATGTATATATATGTATGTATATATGTGTGTATATATATATGTGTATATATGTATGTGTATATATATATATATATATATATATGTATATAAAAAATCAACCATGACCTACTTGAAGCAAGCACCAAAACTTTCATAAATGTCTTTTCCCTGGACCACAAAGGCATCTGATTACCTCTGTTTTAGATATACTTAATTATATATATTTATAGAGATCTGTTTATATAAATATATAATAATACACATTTTATATATGTATATGTATATCTACATATATATATATACACACACATATATGTATATATATGTATATATACACATATATATGTGTATATATAGATGTATATACATATATAACCAGCAGTACTTGGACACATAGTTGATTAATACTGGAGAATCTCAGACTGCTGGGTACCTCTGTTTTAGATATACTTAATAATATCTATCTATATAGCTCTCTTTATAGATATTTATATAAATATATATAAACCCAGCAGTATTTGGGTATATTTATATAAATATATATAATGTACATATATATATATATATATATATACATATAAAATATATATAAAGTAATCACAGTGTTGATTAATACTGGAGAATCCCAGACTGCTTTGTGCTGGAAGGGACCTCACAGCCCATCTCTCTCTCAGGGCCACTTCCACTGTCCCAGTTTGCTCCAAGTCTTGTCCAGCATTGCCTGGAACATTTTTATTTTTGGCAGAACCAGCCCTAACAGCACTAGCAGCTTCTCCAGAGGTTGAATTTTACCTCTTCCCTGTGATTTTAATTTTTTGGCTGAGACCTTTCCCACCCTGAGGAGGAGATCTCCAGTTCCTTCACTCTGCTTCCCCTAAGCTGGAAAAGGCAATTTCAGCACCTCAATCAAGAGCTGTGGATTCCCAAAGATTTGGGTATTGCAATTTCATGTTTGAACCTGTGAAGTAAAAATAATAATAATTCACCCTGCACTTCTCCTTCCAGTCCACAGTGAGGGACCCTGCTTCAATTCCTGCCTTTAGTTCAACCCCCAAACCCAAATGTTGAAACAAAACCTTCCTGGCAGTGAAACTACAGCAGACAGACAGGGGAAGCTTTAAATAGATGGCTTAGTAATAGATCTGAGGAAAATGAAATCTCAGAATCCCCTGGGTCTGACAGGCAGACAGAGCAGAATGACTGTAAAAGGCACCAGGAGGGGGCAATGCCAGGAAAAACCTGGATTGATGAGAAACCCTTAGTCATGGAGCTTGTCAGGAGCAGGGAGTGCTCCCAGGACCCCAGAGAGAGCAGGCTTGGAGCAGGCTGGGGCTGAATCCGTGCTTCCATCTGTGCTCCATCCCCCCCTTCCCCAGGGACTGCAATGGAGAGGGTTTGATGCCTCCCAGACCAGCTCCAGGCTGGCAGTGCCTGGGGAGCTGCAAAGGCCAGGAATGCATTTCCCAACAGCCCCAGAGCATTCCTGCATGGAGGGATGTGGGATCTCAGCA